CATGTTATAAAGGACAAATGTTTCAATTAGTTATTGTTAATTTCCCAGCCTATTTCACTAAGATAATGTTTAATTCTGAAATCATTTCCCCAGGATTTGACAACCACCAATTTTTAGTCTAAATGCCTGCAAAAGAAACATTTCTAGAGAAGAAAAGTTTTACTTCATCTTATATCCTGACAAAGCCATAAATGAAATAATCTGGAAAGTCATGAAAGTATAAGGGCGAAGGGGAAAAATAAGAGGAAAGCATGAGAACTAGTCAACACAGTTTACCTGACCTCTTTAGAGCAAAGCCCTAAGAGGACAGAAGTTCCTCCTCCTACACACAGCCTTCACCTACATATTACCTTGCTGATCTTAAAAGTGAACTAATTCCTTTCATGCAAAAGAGGCATCAAGCCACCTGCAAGAAGGCAAGTAGTAAGACTGATTTACTGGCCACCCTACACAAGCCAGATCAGTGTGCTCCAGTCCCAAGGGTTCTTTGTACTTCCTGGCTCAAGAGTCAGAGCTGTTTAACTATTTTCCCCAGAAGAGGAGGTTGATGAGAACCAATGCAATCAATCAAAGCATCCCAAGTGAGTTGCTACACAAACAATAGCACAGTTCCTCTAGTAACTGATTTTCCTGGTTGACTATTCAAACAAAGACAGATTTTCCAAATACTGTACCTGAGTTTTTGCTTGAGAGTTAAACAATATACACTTGTGTACTTTTTTTAATAGAAATATGTATGTTTCTGCCCTACACACTGCCAAGCACACACCCAGGGCACGTCTTTACAAAATGAAACAGGTTTTCTCCATCCTTCTCATATAACTTAAAGTATAAGGCAGTTTATTTCAACATGTGCATAACAGAAACGACAGTATTTGGTGCCTCTCTGGGTTCCTAAGAATGCTTTCTAGTTAAGCACTAATTTAAAATTTCCAGAAATTCAGTTTTTGTTCATCTTGCCCTAAAAGTTGAACTACCCTCCATATTTTCAGCTAAAACAGACTATCCCCCCCCATAATGTGCTACAAAATGTAATAGAATGTTTGGAATTATACCTAGAATAACCCCATTTCATTTCATCCTCCAGTCCCCTCCCCAGCTTCACCTACCAGACACTGCCCATTAGGTATATACCAATTGTCAGCTGGGAGTCAGAGGGTTATGGTATAAATGAGGCATGGAGTCAGAATTGGCCTCTTTCATCTTTACTGGCCATTGGCCTGAGAATAAATCTCATGATACCTTTTAGTCCAACCTTCTGTTTCTCAAAGTGTTGATTTAGGACACACAGGCTGACTTTCTTTTAATGAGGTTGCCTAAATTCCAGTTCTCAACTGGAGGCAGCCTACCCTTAAAGCACCTGCCACCCTCTGTAGTCGATCAGGAAAGGCAGGCATTCTGGAGAAGAGCTTCTTCAGGAGAGAGCCTTCCACCTGATTTGATGGGGTTAGGCAGAACAATAAAGGGAAGGCGAAAGAGTGTATCTATCCCCCTCGGTGATTTATTACTGAAATTCCTGGATGTGGAGAGAAAGCAACAAAGGTCTGGAAGCCGCAGACTGAAATAAATAGCGAGCTGTAATGTATTTAGCAAATGATAATGCAATCCGCAGAAAGCTTTACAGAAGAGAAGGAAAAATACACTCCCTGGGGCTGGGAAGTCACTGAGTCTGTGAAGGCAGAGAAAGATACATTGTGCAGGAAATTTCTCTTGCTTCTCCCTACACATAAATCACTGTCTCTCGCGGGCGCTCTGCAGGATGGAGGTTGAGAGGGGCGAGGGACCCCGCTCCCTTGGGAAAACATGCTAGCGCTCCTTGCTCCCCGCTATGATGCATCTCACCTGCCCCAGCGGATCATTGTCAAAGAGATTTAGCCGTGTCACTGACACCTCACCCCGCCTCCTCCCACGAGGTGGCTCAGAGTCCCCGAGGACGCGGGACTTCGGAGCTCCCGCTGGACACCGGTGAGCTGCCCTTCCCAGACCCCGCACGTAGCCCTGGATCCCTACGCCCTCGGCGCCCTCGGCGCCCGCCGACCCGCCCACCCCCGGACCTCCCGCCCCGAAGCCGCGTGGCCCCCAAGCCGGGTACCCCTGACCACCCCACCCCCCGCACCTCTCAGCGGGGCAGACTAAGCCCCCAGACCTCCTGCGCTGCAGCCGGCTCGGAGAGCCACCCCCAGGTCATCCCCCGCGCGCTGGCGGCGACTACGGCGGCGGCGGCCGGAATCCGAACGGGCCCCTCCATGCACCGGGCAGGGCAACGGGAAGGCGCGTCGCCTCGCACGCCGGGGCGGGGGCGCAGGGGCGGGCGGGCGCGGGGTGCTCTCCTCGCACCCAGCCGCGAGAGCCGGGCACCCGGGACTGAGGGGAGGGGGGGCGGGGGGGCGGAGTCACCGGGGCGCGCCCCCGCGGCCGCGCTCCACCCCGCCGAGGCGCGCGGGCGCGTACCCGGCGGGCGCGGGACCAGCGAGCAGCACGCGAGGAGCGGGAGGAGGGAACCGGGCCCGGAGGCCCCGCCGGAGGTGCGCGCGCAGCCTGCCAGATCAGCGGCGGGAGGTGGGCCGTACCAATCCGCGGAACGGGGGCGCGCCGCGCAGGACCTGCTCCCGGGCCCTCACTGCTTGCTCTGCGGGAAAGCCTCCAGGCGCAGTTGCGTCCAGTCTCTGCTTCGGACCCGGAGAGCAGAGGGTGGGCTGCCGTAGCGGCTCACGGGGATCTCCACAGCGCCTGCGATCTCTCTCCCCTCACCTTTACCTCCCTGGGAGAGGCAGCATTTCGGGCGGGTCCACAAAAGGGCTGCCTGTCCCCGGCTGCCCCGCCTAGGCCCCGCCCCCGGCTCCTCCACCTAAGGTGTCGGAGAAGCCAGATGCTCCGTTCTCTTGGCTCTTACCTCGTAGCTGCCTTGTGGTTCCAGCTTCCCGCCGCTTTGGGTTCCTTCGCCTGTTCACCACTTTCAGTGTTTGGTTTCTTAGGCAGCTTCATCTGATTCCCCAGACCGCCCGTCCTGCGAACAGGTAGCCAAAGTCAGACTAGGAGTCTCTGGGTGAAGCCAGCACGGCCTTTGGCTCGAGAGTCTTCCCAGCCCGCCCGCCCTTTGGACCTGCCCCAGGTTATTTGATCGCACTGCACTTGAGTTGTTCAAACAGAAAAAGGGAAAAATAATTTCCATTTAAATGGTTGCTGTGAAGCTTAAATATAATACTTAGTGAAAAGCACCTGCCACTCAGTGCATTCGAAGATTATGACTTCCATATAATAAAAGGGTTCTTTGGGGGCTTTTTTTTCACCCTCATCATCATTACTTACGACTGGTTTAACTACGAAAGGAGCCGTAATGATACTTCAGAAACACTCGGTATTGAACTATAGGAGAAATATACCAGTCCGCCTTACCTTCATACTTGAATTTCACAAAGAAATGTTTTGAAAGTATGGTGGTGTTCACCTAACGCAAGTTTATTCTCCATTGTCTCATTTTTTACTTATTCAACCCTGTATGTTACTAACTTAAGGTACAGTGATTTTTCATTCAGCAAATGAGACGTCAGAGAAGGAGGTTCAACTGAAATGAGAGTTTTGTATAAATGAAGATGGAATTGTGGGTTTCTTGTGGCACTCTGTAAGAATCCTAACCATCCCTCTGGGCACTCCCAAATCTCACAGTGCCATTTGGATATCATATCACTAAACCTGTTGTTATTCATAATCAGACCTGAGAAATAATTATGTTTGTTGATAACAATTACTCCCTTTCTGCATTGTTCATAAAGTAGAGAAAGCATTTCAGGTATAGTTTTGCATGAATGAACCATTCATTTATCCAACATCTACTTTAAAAGTGTTTATTGAGAACTTACTTTACGGCACTGCTAGGCAAAGAGGTACACAGAGAAATATGACACCGCTTCAAATGGCTCTACTCTATCTGTGATACAGACACACGAATGAATACACTGAGAGGTCTTCAATGAACCCCCGTTCATTGCTGTGCAAGCACAGGGCAGGGTTGCTAAACCTGTTTGGAGTTTGGCGGAGAAGGAGGGCAGCTTGTCAAGAAAGACTTCTCACAAGTAGTAACCTATGAACTAAGCCTTGAAGGATAGTAGGTGTTGGCCAGGTCAAGGTGAAGGAATAGAAGGACAGTTTAGGGAGGACATTATGAATAAAGGCTTAGAGGCAAAAAAAACAAGGCTGCTCAAAGCAACTGCGAGCTCTTCTTTGTGGCAGAAGCGTAAGGAGCCAGGTAGGGATTGGTAAGTGAAGGCACTGCAGAAAGAAGCCGAGCCAAGTCACAGATAGCTGGTCACGGCATGCCAGGAAGCTGGGGCTTCATCCTTTAGGTAATGGGGAGTCAATGCAGGGATTTTTAAGTGGCAATGTGACATGGTCAGATTTATGTTTGCTGGATCAGATACATTTGAGGGAGCCAAGCCTGAGGTCAAAAAATGAGTAAGCTTCTGAAGCCATCAGGGATAACAGTCATAAAGACGGAGAAGAGAGGGGGAAATTCCAGAAACAAGAAAAATTTGACAAGAAAGACTTCTTGTTTCCACATTGCATGTGCAAAGTTAAGAAAGCACTCAAGAATGACATCAGCTTTCTAGCTTGAGTGGACAGTAGTCAGTCCCCTTACTCCACGGCACCTGGAAGAGAGCAATACGATGCCGGAGATACAGGTTTTAGGGGAACAATTATGTGTTCAGTTCTGAACCTTTTGAATTTGAGGTGCCCGTGGAGCTTCCACGTACAGGCGTCCACTAGATCAGTAAGTCTAAACTGGAGATATAGATTTAAAAGTCATCAGAATAAAGTATATTTATACCATGAAAGTGAAAGTGATCCCTCAGGAAGAAAGGAACTTAGAAAGTTGTGAGCAACGGTGGGTCTCTAAAACTCCAATAACTAAAGCCCTCAGTCATTCTGGTGATTTTGGAGGGAAGGTTGTTTGCAAATGCAAGGTGTGGGACTTGAAAGGATGCTTAAGTGGTGTGGGTTTGGAACAGCCATTAAGAAAAAGAGGAGTTGAAAAGTGAAGTTGAAAACCAGTCATAGGATTGATGAATGAGACTGAGGGCCTGGCTGAAGGTTAGAGATCATGAATTTTTAGTGATAGAGTCTGCATGATTGTGTGATTTTCTCTACCAAAATTTAAGCACTCGAATGTAAGAGGAAACACATAACACTGATCCAGATTTGGAGTTTTGCTGGGAAAAATGCAAGGAGAATAATCTATGGTATTGGAAAGAAAATAATGAAATCATCAGTCCTAGAATCCAGGCTGTGAGCTGGAAAAGAATGATAGACTGGGGTAAAATGATAGATTAGAGAAAAGGAGTTTTTATGAGGTTAAAGAGAAGTTGATACAGGATTAAGGAATGAAAAGCCAAGAAGTCTTTGGCTATAATCTCCATTTCCCAAGTGGGGACAGTTCCAGGACAGTTCCAGGCATGCTAATAGCTGCTGGTGGATGAAGCGGGTAGAGATTTACAGCCATCAGAATTTATGGGATCAGGGCTTGAGAGACAGGAGGACATTGGAGGGACTGAGAGGATGTTAAGAGAAATACCATGAGCCGAGTGCCCACGTCCACAGTGAGTAGGTGGGAAGGTTCGATAGAAGCTAAGTGACACAAATGTATATCCCGTGGATTTTAGGTCAGAATTGGGTTCTTTTATAATACCAAATAAATGTGAGAACTGGTTCTCCAAGAATAACATGACAGGCTGAGTAGAGTCAGTCAAGCAGACTTGCATCAAATTTTGACTCTACTTCATTTGACTTGGTGATGTTATTTAAACTCCTGGAGTTTTGATTTCATCATTTGTAAAATTGGGATGATACTTACACTTCAAATAGGGTTGGTTATATGACCTACTTCCATAGGGTTGCTGGGAGGATTAATTGAAATACATATTAAGCACTTCATACTTGGAATGACAATCATTGAATAAAAGTTAGATGTGATAATAATAACGGTTAATATTTATATAATACTTGCAATATGCCAAATATTATTTTGAGCATTAATTCCCTATTACAAAAGCGGAAACAGGCCCAGCAACGCAAGGTGTCCTGACGAGGATTACGCAGCTAGTCAGTATCACAGCTGCTGTTCAAACCCAGGTAGTCTGGCTCTAGAGGCTGAACTCTTGATTAGTCTGTATTCATGTCTCCCCACAATAAAAATGTTTATTAACATCACGTCAGATGATTTTACCCATTAAAAAGCTTTTGTTGAGCACCTTTTCTGTGTAAAGCATCAAATTAAAGAGATGTCAGAATATACCTGGATTAAACACATCAACGGGCCTCTTCAGGAGCCCTTGGCCTCGCCTGTCTCTAGGACCCTCAGCTACCACAGTGACCCACTCGGTGTTCCTCTCTACAATCGGGACACTGAAAACCTTGGGATCTGGCATCTGCCGCATGTGCTAAGAGGCCACGTGACCCAGCCCAAAAGGGCAGGAGTGCCTCCCCACGAACCAATGAATGGGAACAGCACAAGGAAGACATTCCTTCTCCCTTCCTCCCTCCAGGGGCCTGTTCCAAGGTGTGGATTTTCAGTAAATCTTGTCTGGAGACATCCTTCACGGCCGAGCAGGAACACCTGTGGAATGACCAGCCACGTATCTTGTGAGTTGTCAGAAAGCAGCAGGCAGCATGGTAACGTGTCATCTTGCATTTGTCTCCCAACTTGCGCTACCACGTCTCCCTTTCCCTCACTCTCACCTGGGATTGACCTGGTTGCCTTGACCTCTGCTTACTGGAGTCTCTGAATGTAAGGTGTTTATAGTAAGCTTTAGGAGGACAAGGCCTATCTCTACATTAAATAAAACTATCAATAGCTATTTGACAAATACCAAATGAATAGGTTGTAGCAGGGCACAAATCTGAGTCCCAGCCTGAATATTATTAAGTATGTATGCATTTTCCATGTCTTGCTTTCCTCATATATAAAATGGAGATGTGACACGTGTGTAGCACTTTCAGACATTGATGGTGAGAAATAAAAAATTGGTACAGCCTCCAGGGAAGAAAGTTTGATGATATGTGTAAAAATTTCATGTGCTTTTACTCTTTGATTCTGCAGATAAATTTTGAAATTTATCCTACAGATACTCTTGCTGCGTGTAAAAGTCCATTCACTGAAACACTGTTTATAACAGATTAAGAACAACAGGTGTATCCACACAATGGAATACTCTGCCACTGCAAAAACAGACACTGAGAGAACTGCCATGGAAAGTACTCGAGATCCTGCCATTTTCAACACCCTGGATGGACCTTGAGGGCATTATGCTAACTGAAATAAATCAGACAGAGAAAGACAAATACCGTATGATCTCACGTTTGGAATCGAAACACAAAACTAATATAAACAGAGATCAGATTGGTATTGCTAGAGGTGGGGATGGGGGTGGGTGACATGGGTGAAGGTCATAAAATGGTAAAATCTTCCAGTTATAGAATGAATGAGTTCTGGGAGTGTGATGTACAGCATGGTGACTGTATAGTTAACAATATAGTTAACAATCATCTGATGGTTGCTAAGAAAGTAGATCTTAAAAGTTCTCATCACAAGAAAAAAATGTGTTACTATGTGAGATGATGGATGTGAACTAAACTCAATGTGGTAATCATTTCTCAATATATACATAGATCATTATGTTGTACACCTTAAAATTATACAACATTATGTGTCAATTCAATAAAACTAGGGGGAAAAGAAAGTATGGGATATACAGTATTATGCCCTAGTTTCTAAAAGGGAGAAACTAAGAATATATCTTTGTATTTCCTGTTAAGGAAATACCCATTGGAAGGATTCAAAAAATAACTTTAAAAATGATTACCTTGGATGAAAGCAGATAATAGGATTGACAGGACAGGACACAGACTTTTTAATGTATAGCTTTTTATAATATTTTGATCTTTGAACCATGTAAATGGGTTACTTATAAAATGTGTTAAAACAGAAATTTCATAGAGAAGTACTACCAGCCTTTCAAAGCTTAAATGAGAAAACATATGTCCACTTTCTAGCACTGTACCTGACACATGGTAGGATCTCAGTAAACACTAACTATGAAAATAACTACCCATTGCAGTGAAGGAAGAAAGGCTTCAAGATGGAAGGAGAACTTGACCTCAGCCTGGTGGCTGGAAAAAACTCAGAGAGTAGAGAAATGGGGACCATCACCAAATATGGGAGCAAAGTTGTGAAAACATGAAGGCTCTGGACAGTAAATAGCCCATGGGATTAGAGCAAAGAGTTGGGAGCAGAAGAGCAGGGGGAGATGAAGTTAGTGAGATAAATTGGGGCCATATAGGGGAAGTTTTGAACTGTAGGCTTTATTCTTTGGGTCATAGAACAATAACTAATCTTTGTATTGTATTTTATGGCAGAAACTCAAATTTTATTGTCTGGATTTGCTACTAACCCAATTAATGTTATAAGCCTCTAAAATATTCCTGGACTAGAAATGTTCTATTAGACATGGCAAATGTCAGGAAGTGTCCCTTTTACCAGAAGCAAAACTCGTCAGAGGGGATCGTCAAGCTGGCTCAGTCTGTTGAAGGTTTTCAAACTGAACAGTGACTTAATTTGTTTGCTTTTGGTCCTGGCTTTGGATTTTACCTGGTATTTGCATAAGAAAAATATTAATCAATTTAAAACTGAAAAAGGGAAGGGAAAGGACCATCTAAAAGTCAGCTGGTTTAGGACCTTTCTGTTTACTTTCTGCTAAAGGTTCCAAAGTTCAAAACAACTAACCGCCCCCCCCTCCAACAACCCACCCCAGCCTCAGTAAGTTGGACCCAGCGGACTAAACAATAACAGAAGTCGCTTGTCTCTATTTGGATAATTTCCAAATTTAAACAACAAAGTTCCCATTAAATATGCAAGAAGTTCTGATTATTTATGATGTAATTTAATATTGACATTTTATTAAATGCCCTGGCCCTCCCCCAAGCCTTTGGAATTTCATATCTAATGACTGCAGGATAACTCTCCTACCCACACTAGAACTGTTGGTAATCAACAGTTTTCCTCTGCAAGATATTTTTTTCTTCAAAAAGGAATTCCAGTAGGTTGACTGTATTCTCCCTGAATTGGGTGCAATTTCCTGAATTGGGTGCAAGAGGATTTCACGGAGAGGGAGATTTCTATGGCCTTTTTTATGCTGAAATGGCTAAGCCCCGGAGACTCACTGCCTAAACCTATTACACACAGATCACCTAATACTGTGACTGCATTTGTGATGCCAGATTAATTTACCCCCACACCAGGTCAGCAGAAAATGACTTTACACATCTTCTTTGCACTAGCAAAGAATGTGGAGATCATCTTACAGGAAAGAGAAAGACAGGGCTGTAAGGGAAGCCGGTGCTGAAGAGATACAGACGCCACCTTCCATGTCATTCAGTTACACACAGCAAAGGAGCCCCGTCTGAGACATGAAAGAAGGCAAAGGGCCTGAAAGAGAATGACGAGGAGTTGAGGATATTTGCAATGGGTAGCGGCTAACGAATGAGTTATTTGAGGCTGGATGGTCTCAGAAAAAGCACTGAACTGGAGGATTGGCAAACCTGTCCAGTATAATTTATTCCCAGATTCCTCATTATCCTCCTGGTGGCTGTGTGAACTTGGGCCAATCAGTCTCCGTGGCAGAATTTCCCTTCTCCCTCTCAGAGGAAAAAAGAGCTATAGTATGGCAAAGTCTCTAAGGGGCTGGCATCGTTAAGAGCAAATTCTGGCAACTTTAACAGTTCTAGCATAGGTTGGAACAAAGAGGTGTTGACAGGATGTCTCAGCTGTCCCTTGAAGAATTTGGTTTCCAGTTTCCTCAGGCCATCCAACACCTAAGGCAGTTCTGACAAGGCTTGTCTCTGAGGGTCTTCAGCTTGGTGCTGCTGTCCATACGCTGCATGAACTTGGGGGAGTTTCCTCACCAGCAAAACAGGTATAAATATACCAGAGGTTGCCAGGTTGTCTGGATGTAAAGTGTATGGCACACTTCATATAGTGGCCCACACAGAATAGGCTCAAGTCATCGGGTCAGTGCTGTTGTTACTTATCAGCTTGGTTTAGACAATCACCATTCCTCATCTGTTGGGAATATTCCTTATACCAGTGGCAAAGAGTGTTATGAAACGAACTCACATCTTGGTCAAATGACTCCGTGCATCATTTGATGCTCTGTGCATCAGTTTTCTCATTGAAATCGGTATGAGTCCTTAAGTTTCTCAATGCAAAACAGTAATCTTACCTACTTTCTATGACTGCTGTGAAGATTAAATGAAAAAATGCACCTAAAGAACTTGGGCCAGAAACAAGGACATAATTAACAACAACATAATCCATCACTATTATTATTTTCATCATCATCGTCACCGTGATGAAGATCATTGTGAATTCTCCTACGGACCTCAGTGTTCTCTTCTGGTGTTAGTCGTAACTATGATGTTACATGAGCAATGGAAGACGGAGGACACATGAATTCTTGGTTTGTTATAATCTTTCACATACTAGTAGTGAGACTAATGCTTGCCTCTATATTGATATGTATCCATAAATTTAGAACACTGATGAGGATTAGATCAGCTTGGCCCATGGGTATCATATCGTGATTGTTAACAAAAGAAACACATACATATATTAAGAAAAAGGAAATCTCGAGAATCATTATCCTTAATCTTGCTTTCACATTACTGCACCGAGTCTTGTCATTTCCCTTGGTTTGTTAAACATATTAATGAAGAGCATCAGCGTGGACACCTCTTAAAGACAATGGTTCCGAACTGAGTCCTCCTGCATCTGCCCAAGTGTCATGCCCTGTACCAGCCACCATGCTTCCCAGTTTTCCCTCTTTTATGCCCCATCCTCTCCCCTTGCAACATCCTTGGCCAGCTCATTTCCTACCCCTCTGTCCTCAGTTACCGTCTGTCCATTCCAGGGGGATTCTGGGTACCAGATTTCTGGGTGAAATGGAAACTGTGTGTTACTAAGTCGGTCTTGCCAGCTTGGCCTTACCACATCCCTAGGGGCTAGACAGAAAGCAGACAAGGGCAGGGAAGGGAGAGGATGCCCTCAGGACAGACCCTGGAACTCTCGTGTCTTGGGGGAGCCCTGGCCGACTAGAGAAGCTAATGGCTTGTGCCTAAGGCTACTCTCCCCATAGCAGTTTTAGATATAGGCTTTACGGTCACATTTATGCCAGGAAAGAAGGGGAGAAAAGTAGGGAGAGAGCACCTGGCAGCTAGAGACCTAGATGAAGGGAGCGTAGAAGGGGGACAGGGATTGACAACAATTCAGACCAGGGGATATTCCCCTTCCCATCCATTCCTGTCTGACGAGCCACTGCACTGTCACAAAGCTGTTTCTCACTGTCTCTGGCCTCCTCGCATCGGGGACGGCCTTAGTTAATGAGGGGAGGGCAATGGAGTGAGAGTCAGAGATTTTCTCCAGGTTTCTCTGTGTTGGAGACATAAACCAGTTCTGGGCCTGCCAGCGTGTTTTCAGACTAGAAAGGCTTGTGTGAACTAATTCAATCTAAGGGGTCACTAACTGATAGAGTCTTTATAATCAGTTGTCCCAGGATCTAAGGAGATCACTTTCCAGGCATAGACTCTCAGATACTGTAGCAGCTGCCTAGGGAGCTATGTGGGATTTGGGGGACCTTCTGTCTCCTGCCCCTTTGAGATCACAGCACACATTTGGTTGGCTCTTTGTCCTGCCTACACTTCAGGCTCCATGCCCTTTCTCTACTCGCCCCAGAGCCAGTAATCTCCCTGGTGACAAGTAATGCTTTAAGGGCCGCGACTAGCAACCCCCTCACCCCACCTGACCCCAGCCTGGGAGGGGGCATGAGAAGACCTGTAGAAGAGCCCATTCAACACCCCTCCCATCCTTCTCAGGCTCCCACCTGCATCCAGGAACACCTCTTTTCCCTTCCTCTATTGTGTTCATTCCACGGATTTGTCAAAAGCTCAGCACTGAGCCAATTAGCCCCTCCTGCAGTCCAGTTTCTCTTGGGCTCCTTCACAAAGGGCTTCCATCTTGATTAAAGGACTGTGCCTGAGGAGATACCAGGCTTAACATTCTTCACAAATGCCCCAGGAGTCCATGGAAGGAAGAAATGAAGGTGGAGTGTTGAGACTTAAGCCCCAAATAAACCAAATCAACACAAAAATGTCAGGACTCGGGGACTTGTTTCCAGAGTGGGTAGTTTTCTTTACCAACCACTAGGAGCATGACTTCGGGCACATACAAGATGTGCCCTCTTCGGCTCACCAGGCCCTGATCCTCGCTTCTATGCATGAGTTTGGCCTGAGAGAGCTTGCTCCCCTGGGCCAGGCCCTAACTTACCCTTCCTTCTCTCCCGCACCTGTCTTACACTCCTGACCCTGAGACGTGTAATCTCGAGGGCCCCTTCCACGCCTGGAAGGCCGCCTTTGTTGTCCTCTCACACGGGAAACATTTTGAGACCTCTCTGAGATGTTCAGCCCATCTGGATTCCTGCCCAGCATCTCTTCCTATCAACATTAGCAGCCCCAGTTTGGGGGGCTAGCCACCTGTTTTCCTCTAATGCTGCTGGGATCTGTGCATACTTCCACCTAAGGCTGCCCCAGGGGTGGCTCAGCAGGTGCTGAACTTGAAAATGAGTCAAATGCATAAAGGAGGTGGAAGAGAACACCAGCCCTCTTCTTCCATCCTCTTCTCTATTTCCCTCTGCCTTTAAGCACTGATACTGCCACGGCTCTCGATTTTAATCAGTTTGCTGATTTTTAAGCATAATGGATTTATTCAATGACATTTACTAAGCATCTTCAAGATGTTATCAAGCAAAATGCAATGTTTCTACACTCTTTGCTCTCTTGCTGCTTTCCTGGAAGGAGTCAATATATATTCCCACCATTTTTTGGGCAGCCAAAGTCCCAGACAAGTCAACAAATGCTTATCAAAACTTTGTTTCTTTGTTCCTCACTAGCTTGGAACCTGTAGGATACAATAGCATCTCTACCTTTGAGATACTTAGTCTTTTTGGTGAGATAAAATATGCACTAATGTTGTACCTGGTAGGTGCCAGGCAGAGTTTTAAGCACTTTCTATAAATACTCACTTAACATTTTTGTGAAATAGGCATTATTATTTCTACTTTATAGATGAGAAAACCAAGGCTCAGAGAGGTTGAGTGGCTTACCAAGGTGACACAGCTAGAGAGGATAGATCTGGATTCACACCCATGCAAGTGAACTTCAGAATCTGCACAATGCCCATGCTATGCAGCCTTTCAAATTCATCTGCACAACAATGAGAAAGCCATGCAAAGCAGCATATAAACAAACACTTTGTGATGGCATAGACTCAGCTTATGGGTTTAAACAGCAAGAAAGAAATGGTTCTCAGGAAAAGAACCACAGAAAGAACTGGGTTGAACTGCTCCAAGGCTCATGGTAGACATTGTTCACATGCAGAATAAAGAGAACCGCTTGGAATCCAAAGAGCATCAAAGAGACAGGGTGGTAAGATTGCCCGACAAGAATAAGCAAAATGGGAAAGTGCCTCTCTGCAGAATCACGGTACTAATAGTGCCTCCCCCGGGGTCGTGTGAGGAATAGAATAATGCCTTGCATGTAGCAAGCCCAGTGGAAGTGTTGGCTATGCTATTACTATTATTGTTCTTGGATGAACTTTTACTTCAGGACTGGCTAGAGTTGGGGAGAAGGGAACCTGGCTTATGTTAATGGTGTCTTAGGTTAGGGACTGAAACACACTAAAAACCTTTGTTCCTGGCAAAGCAACATGATGCTGTCATTTCAAACCCACTTATAAATTCTGCAATGGAAAAAACGGGGCTGGCCCTTAGGGAATATGCTCTAAGGGCCTGAGACTTGAGCCACACTCTCACTAAACCCAGTGACAGGAGACGTCAGGCCACCCAGCCCCACCCTGGTGGCAGGCAATTAAATGGGTGACCTCACTAGGTCCCTTTGGACCAAGGAGAGGGCCTCAGTCTGTGATCCTGTAAACAGACTCCTTTGCATTGCAAACCATGGGCGTTTTTGTGGATTGTTCTTTGTTCAGAAAAAACCAGAGTGGTTTTGAGAAGTCTGCAGAATGTTAGAGCTGTCACTTCTAAAGTAATGTAATTCTGTCTCTTACCCAGCCGATCAGCAAAGCAGGGAAAGGTATATGCCTCCATGAGTCAGGGTTTACTTCATATTCACAGGCCTGGCAGTTTCTTGACTGATGAAAATGCTTTGCAAACAGAACCTGGTCCTGTTTTTCTCTGTGCTCCTTCCCCCTGCCAAATGGAGAGTGAGAGGTTGGCAGCAGCGGTGCTAAACTAGTAGGGCTGATGAGATACTATCTCCGTCTCCTTGTAACACAAAACATTTATTTTGCAGAGAGTGAAAACAAAATTGAAAGGAGTCCAAGATTTCTTGGGAGCGAGAGACTTGATGTTCCTCTAGCTGGACTGCCTGGTTTGTTGGCTTTCTGCCTTCTGTCTCCCCCATAGCAGCATACGAGCCCTACCTGAGACATATGCCATCCTGAAGGCACTCCCAGAGGCACTAAACTAGGCCCCACCTCAGCCCCAGGGGTTAGGAAAACTGCCTGGGTGGTGGCAGGATGAGCCAGCATTCAGCAAGACGGGCTCTGAGGGGCAAGGCCAGGACCTGCCTTTGCCTCTAGTTGTCTGTCTGGGGACCTGAAGCCCCAAATGCAGACACAGCTTGGGGCCTGCCCAGCAGCCTCAGCGGACCGGCAGGGCCCTTTGCTGAAGGCCTGACTTCAATGCAGCACGAGGAGGGCACCCCAGGATGCGTGACCACTGAGGAAGTCTCACGGCGGACTTAGTTCCCCAGCTGTACTGGCCTCAGACACTCCCTTGGTCGAAATCTTGGCTCTTATGAGGTATGGGCCATGGGCAAGTTATTTACTTTCTGTATCCGGCAAATGGAAATAATAATAGTACCCACCCCATGGGCTGCTGTGAGAATGAGACCAGTAAGCCCAGCACGAGTGTGAGCTGTGCCGTCACTATTAGTGTCAGCGGGGCGGTGGGGGTCTAGTTCCCTCTTCAAGCCCACGGGTCCCCCTCCTGCCCTCAGTGTCTTGCTGGGCCCGCAGGCTGGGCCCGGCTGCCCCCCGAGGGCTCTCCTCTTACCTCACAGCTTCCTGTTGTCTCTGAAGCTCCTTGGATATGTAACCTATTTCTCTGGCCCTACTTCTTGCGTGGGCCTCCCGTCACCAGCCTGCACCGCTCGCCTGTCTGTTTGTTCAGTTATTTAAAACACAATCATTGTCCAAACTCTTCCTTTTGAGACAACAGAAATACCTTAAAGGGTTGGTCTGGGAGGGGATTTATGCCCACACCACTATGGTCCTGCTCCAGAAAATGTGCCATTTCCTCATTTATTTTTTCATCTAATTCAGGTTTATCGAGCGCTGTTTACATCAGAGATTTTCGCTCTGAGCATTCACTCTTCCTCTTTGGGGCCAGGTGCCTTGGCTGTGGGTCCATCCTGTGCACTGTAGGACCTTAGTGGCATCCCTGGCTGCTACCCGCCAGATGCCAGTAGCATTCTCTCCTTCAGTTCTGATAATCCAAAATATCTCTAGACATTGCCAGTGTCCCCAGGGTTAATGCTATCAGATTTAGCAAATGGAAACATGAAGATAGCTTTTATCTGCAGCCTGCCTCTGAGCCTAGAACTACTGGTTTAGGTCCAGGCCCTGTGCCTGGGGCACTCACAGCCATTAAGCGATAACCATGTAAGACAGTTGTTAGAGACCCATCCTGGCGATGGGGAAGCTGGGTCCTGGAGAGGGAAAGTGGCTTAGCCTCAGTGCCCAGGCAGATGACTAATTTCAGTGCCCTTGCCACCAAATTAGGGCAGCTGAATGGAGCTCGTGCTCTGGTCATATGTTCCGGGTCTATGAACACTGAGGGGCCCATTCCCACCTCACTCCAACCCTCATCTGCTGATGCTCTGATAACTGGGACACCGGTTATGCGAAGACGTTGTCCTACAAACCTCAACCCTGCCCAGCTCTGAAAGCCTCTCTTGGGAGGGCAAAGGGAGCGGAGGAGGGGGAAGGGAGAGCAGGGGTGTGGGGTCCCTGCCTCCCACACCTCTGCAGCCAAGCCTGGAGAGACAAAAGGCAGCGTGGGGCGGCTGCGATTATTTCCTTTGCTCTATCACCTAGCTCCGTGGGGCATTCTGGATCCCTGCCCTCCAATGTTCAGGGCCTTATTAACGGGCCTCAGCTGTTGCCCAAAGCCCTTACCTCACCGAAGAGGGCTCTATTTGCATGATAATGCCCTCTTTGGGAGAATTATTGCTTAATTAAAGAACAGCAATCACTTTAATTAGCATGTCTCCTTGCTCCCTGGGACTTTCAGGGACTCAAATGAGCTCCTCATTAGGTATTGGCACTTAGACAAATCTGGGGCCTCTGGCAGCAACGGGAGGCTCCCAGGGCAGGCGGCCCCAGCTGGGACCTCAGTGACGGGGAGGCCCAGCCCTGCCCAGAGCACAACCAGGCTTTGTGAGGACAGCGGCAGACCGGGCCTGGGCTGGTACCCTTCAGGGCCCAGGACCTGACACGCAGCGTGGGGCCAGGCCCAGGAGGTGTCATTTGCAGGCCCTCCCTTTGCCTCTGCTCGTCCATCCGAGCCTACCTCCAGCTCCTGCTCCTTTGCCCTTAACATTCAGCTGCCTGATGCTATCGTCCTCCTCCTGTGACGTCTGGAACTTCTGTCACCCCAACCCCTCTCTCTCTTAATCTCTCTCACACACACGTACAAACACCCCCCCCCCCACACACACCTGAATCTCTTTTAATCTCAGTGCACCTCAGATTCTTCACCCCCAATTCGGGAGTACAATTTTCTCTTCTGACATAAGGTGGGGAGAGCACATAAAACAAAATAAAAATAAGCAAGGAAAACACTTGTGCTGCTCCCAGGATGGTCTCTTTCCCCTGGGCAAGAGACCGCCTTCCTTTAGCTTCCCTTCCCTGAGATCTAGAAAGTTATCCAGGAACTACTCGGTGCACACAGGGCCCTGAGTAGGACTCACGGAAATACCAGCCAGTGTGGATTCATACTGTCACAGCTCTCCCTTCCCTGATTATTAATAAAATAGAAGTCATTTTGTAGGCCACTGGACAACCATTTTTTATATATTACAAGTAACATCAGCCTACCTATACTTCGAAATTTCTCTTTGCTAGGAAATCTTTTCTAGAGTAAGGACAATAGTCTCCCCTCCAGAAAAAAAAAATTCTCTCTTTTGCCTGGATGTCAGTCAATCCATTGACCTTTGTCCTCCTTGCTACGTCACACACATACACTCTACCCCCAAGGCCCACATCTATAGTATTCTTCCTATTGCAAGTAAAATTACACATTTCAAAGAGGTAAGGTAGAATACCCTAGATTTGCCCCCCAAGAGATCTGGCTCCCAGTGTAAGCATAGCACCCAGGCCAGAAACATTGCTCTCACCCATCTTCTCCCAGGCTACAGCCCAGGGAGAGGCCACACCCAGCTCACAACAGATCGGGCCTCTGCCCACAGCTTGGCAAGCACACCTCATGCCTTCCAGCCTTTTCTATCTCGCATGCCTTTGTGTCCCTGGAAGCGAGCTGGAGTGGGGCTCCCCTGCCCTCAGGGCCCCCCATTTTGCCTGTGTGGGGGTAGAATTCAGCAGGAGGGGAGGTAGCTGGGAGCTGTTTTGGGGACTCAGGCTGCAGACAATGGGGGAGAAGGGGAGCATGAGGTGACGGCATCTGGGAGCAGGGCTCGCTCCCACCGGCATCATCCTGTGAAGAGAGTAGCAACAAATCAGAGGTAAATCCACGTCCTGGCAGGAAGCTGAGCCTGAAGGCAGCTGAAGCCACAGCGGTTCAAAGGGAGAGTGACACCCAAACAAGAGGGCAGCCCTGCATGCCCCATGGAAAGATGAGAACAGGGAGCTCAGGCCCACGGAGAGAGCGCTCGGCTTTGTTTAACCAGGATTGAAAACACAGCTCTATTGAGAGGCTGGGACTTTGAGACACAGACCCCGAGGGGCAGTTGCCAAGTTGAAGGCAGCCCAGGGCTGCCAGCTTTCACCTCTTTAGTTCTGGGCTTGGCAGTAATGAGGCGAAGGGCCAGGACTTTTTAACTGGCTAGGTCAAAGTGGTTTCCTGATTAGACAAACAGTGTGTGTGCGGGGGAGCCATTGGGTCTCTGCTTGGAACAAGGAAGTTCCAGAAAAGACAGAGCCAGAGGCCTCTCGCCTTCCACACCCAGTCTGCACCTGGAGCCCTGGCCGTTCGCCGCTGTCCCAAGCCCACTGCTGCCAGCTTACCACAGCTTGGAGGGGCACTTGAAGAAGTGTCACAGAGCCTTTCAGAAAGGAAGTGACAAACAGGTGGCCCAGCGGGGACCTGCCCGTACACTGGTTCCCCACTTGCAGGTCAGCACCTGGGGTGAGGCAAACTTGGGGAGGGCAGCCTGCAGCCTGTGGGCTGGCAGGCCTGCACAGGGAGGGGGCCCTCTCTCCCCAGTGACAGCAGAGGGCTCTGCGGGCAGCTGCAGGGGACCAGCCCTGGCCCCAGGGTCTGAGGCCCCACAGTCTGCTGGGGGGTCTCCAGGGCTGTTTGTCAACCTGCGCTCCGCAGGGACGGAAGGGGAAGGCGCAGGACGAGGTGTCCGCAGCCAATGGGAGATGCAGAAGGGGGTGAGCCGAGCTGACTGGGGGGGCTTCCTCCCTCCTCTCACCCACACATCTCAACCAGGGCAGCTTCTTTTTTTACTCATTTATCTTCCAAGTAAGATTTTACTTGAAGAAACAATCACAGAGCCTAGGAAGTTTGAAAAGCCCTTCTTCAATGAAGGGACAGGAAGATACTCCAGGAAGGGGAGATGCATCATCTCTATTTTCATAGCAATATTCCAGCGGTCAGCGGTCAGCATCCAAATGTAATTTGTTAAATGAACACGTACTAAACAGCTTATTTACATGACCACTAGTAGCACAGAAGATTCTAGGCAATTTACAAAGAGATGCATGTAATGAAATAGAGGTAAATATAAGTGGGAATAAATTCCCAGGATCAGAAAAAAAACACACATGAAGTGAAATCAAAACTACGGAAGAGAAACACACATTTCCTGGTGATAAAAGTTCTATATATTTACTGTTACTGGACTCCAAATTGGCTTCTGAGCTTTCTGTAAGGCAGAGAGAGAAAGAGAAAGGAAGAAAGAGAGAGAAAGGGACCTGGTCTCTAATCCTCTTTACCAGAATGGAGGAAATATATCAGCTTCTCAGGCTAAGCAAGATATTTCCCTTTTAGAAAAAATGCTATAAGAAATTTCTTACAAGGAGCTTATAGGAAGTGCTGAGTAACAGAATTAACAGTGTTTAGCTGACTTCCTAGGGTAATAGACTCCTTTGGCTGCTTCTGGGATAGTCAATAACAATTAAATGCATTAACATTAAAATGTAACTCAGGTAAAAACAGGTTGGTGAAGATACAAGATAAAATAGCCCCAAAGAGTAGTCTTGAGTTGCTTTAGTTTGCTTGAATAATTAAATGCATTAACATTAAAATGCAACTCAAGTAAAAAACAGGTTAGTGAAGATACAAGATAAAATAGCCCCAAAGAGTGGTCTTAGTTGCTTTAGTTTGCTTGAATAACCCATCTGTCTTAATTTCAGTTCCCCCGGAAAGAGACTTTAAGAAAAGGATTCAAAAGCAAGTTGTTTGTTTGGGGTATGATCCAGGTAAACATTGGTAGGGGAGTGGGTAAGTGAGTCAGAGAAGGAAAAGAAGGCCCCCCACAAAGTCGTGTAACCAGACAGTTCCTCACTAAGAGAAATCAGAGCTTACCCCACTGAGGAATACTAGGGATGCTAAACAGCCTGACTTATCCCACCTGAGAGGCATTTATGTACCACTCCCATCAGTCACTGGTTGAAAGCTGCTCCTGGGGAGCAATAATTCCCTGGCACTTCCAGCCTGCCATGCAAATCAACTGTGCAGGCCCCAGCAGGCAGAGAAAGCCCTCAGGCAAAGAGACGCAGGTGCTGGCCTGGGAATGGTACAAGCAAAGGAGGTGTGGGTAACGTGCTGAGAGCAGCTGCTATGCCATCCTGCTCTCATCATGTCAGCCTGGGGGGCACATGGTGACACCTTGGCAGTAACAGTCCTCAGCTCCTGGCTCTTGTTCAGACCCTCTGGTGCAGGACTCCTGGTTCTTTACAAAGCTTTCCCATAATTATTCTTGGGAGATCCCGGAGAGTTTCTCACATGTACTCACAATCCAGTCTAGTCACCTGGGCAGCTGGGCATCCTCCAGGCACTGCCACCTCTGCTGGGAACAGCTTTTACCATGTCCAGGTCTGGGTCAGCTGCCTTCTCTGCTGGGCCCTGAACATCACAGGCAGTACCAGGCCTGCTCAGCATTGTGGCCTAGCCTGGACGCTGCCACCCTTTCCCTTAGAGTTCAGGGAGAGGTGGAGCTCCCAGAAGCTCTCAGAACACCACATGGTGTTCTCAGCTGAAGAACTGAGCCAAGACCCCCTCAGCTTTCCCTACACTTCCACTATTTCCTGCTAGAGGCCCACTAGTGTGGTATAGTCTTGTATATTACAGTCTGATTGCAACTAAGCTTGTAATGGAAACAGTTTTTCTGGTTTTTATATGAAGCCTTATCTTTTCCTTCTTTAGGCCCAGACAAAGCAAGGGATGACCCTCCAGAATACCTCCCCCAGCAAGTTGTGTTCAGAAATACTCTCTCCCCCTATCAACACTAAGCTTTGTTACTGAATGAAACCTGTCTCCCTCTCTTTTCCCTTGGGATTGTTCCCTGGGAGGCCCCGTGGTCCGTCTTGCTCAGAGACATGCCAGATTTGCTTAGACATGTGTCAGATTGCCATGGCCGGTTTAGACCAGTCCTGGGAAACCCCTGCTTCAAACAGAGAATTTGAAAATGTGGGAGAAATAAATTCCATATTCTTCAGATAATCTTTCATAAATGTCACCTTTGATGGATGCTGGAGGGCACATAGTTCAAGATTATGCTCTACAAAAAAAAACAACTGTGTTTCACTGGAATGCTGATAATCTTTGTTGATGAATGAGAATAGATCCATGTATATTGAAACCAGGTGAGCAGGTAATGAAATAAATTGATATTGTGGTTAACGTGTCTAACTCGGACTGTCACCTCTGTGGAGAGTCATTCCCCCTCGGCACGGAGGGAGGCAGGAGGGGTACCCACAATGGAAACAGAATTTTTCCAAAGAAACTCATCTCATTTTGTTACCATCCACGAACAAGTGGTCAATTAATTTTCCCATGTTCCACACTGTAGACTACTTTCCCAGCTTTCCCACAGAAGCATCCTTCCTGGCAAAAGCATGTGTACTGGGGGCTTCATTATTGAAGTGTTTTTGTCTAAGTCCCTGCAGTTTCTGAGGCTGTGGAGGGAAGAAAAATGTCATCAAAATGTGAAAAGATTCTCTAGTGAATGGACTGCTTATAAACTTGGCCTCCTGCTTAACTGTAGCTTCATCCCTACGCCCTCTCTACTCCCCCGCCCCCTTCCCGCAGCCTGGCGTTAGCATCCTTCTCAGTCTCCGCCTGGTGGTGTGAGGGGTAGATGTGACTGTCCAGCAAAACAATGCAGAGACAACAGCAAATCTCGCAGGCAATGCAGGACTATATGATGTGAATGAAAGCGATGTTGAACAGTTACTGAAACTCACCACACACAGAAAACAACAGATCACTAACAATTGCAGAGAAAGCTGTCAAGAGTGGATAGGTGTTCTGAAAGACAATTTTTAATAACAAAGGACTGAACTCCCTTGAGAACACTGATGGACCTCTGGGACACATTTGCAAACATAACCTTCTTTATGATCCTGCTGGGAGTCAGAAGGGAAAACAAGACTGTATCATGCTACAGGTTTGGCATATTGTAGCTTGTCAAAAATCTTCCCGAAACTTAAATTATCATTTATTTTTTTAAAGAAACACTGTGTGGTTGCAATTACAGCTCAAATTTTGTTGAGCATAGGGTTAAATTAACTTAGTTTTCATGTTTTTTTTTGCTTAACTTCAATATAAAATTGTAATCAATACCTTTCCCCCTACTCTTTACTCTGAAATATTTTATCCCCATTTTAAGTGGACTCACTTTATGACCTTTTCCAGGATTGCTTGCCTTCTATGCCGCCTGAGGAGTCTGAGACAGGTGCCTGAGGTAGCTTGTCATTAGCATGAAATTCCTTTAAGATTTTCCATTTTATCTTAAAATTTCATGAAAATATTTTTAGTCTCTATAATATATGTCTAATAAGTTATGTATCTGTTCAATTAGTCACACTTTTCACTGGAAGTCTTTAATGAAAAGAGTACTCCTAGAAAATGAGCTCTATTTATCCTGTGGATTTATATACCCTTGTGGCATGTTGCTTATTTCCCTGAGGACATCTGCACTCTATTCGCAAAGCCTGGCCGTAAAGAACAATCAAAATTACTTGGGCCTGACAATGTCCAGAGGGGAGTGTTGCCAGTCAACTACTATACCCGGCCATAGAAAAATCTCAAAAATGCTCCCTTAAAATATCTAGCTTGGAGCAATTGTCTGATCACTCTATGAGGAAAATTAATTGTAAATATACTTTTAAATTGCTAGCTCGATTACTTTGGCCTATGATATTATGCTATCTCAGCCAATTCAATTTTGCGGGGGTTGATATCTCCTTAAGATAATAATTCTGTTGTAAAGCAATATTTAGCCACTGTTTCTGAGCATGGTGAGATACCAGAGTATATTTGACATTGGTCCTCTGAGTATAACCCTAGATCACGTCAAACAAAAGAAGCCTGGCATCTCCTTTTAGAGGACTCTTTATCCTACTTCTAAAGGGACACGATCCAGCTGTAGCCGATAATGCTAAAACAGACTATTAGGATATGCATTTTTTACATTTAAAAGGTGGGGGAGAATAAAAGAGAAAAAAAGAAAAGGAAAAGGAATCAGCATGGTGTTCTTGTTTACAAGCTTCTAAATTGTCATGTGCTCTACCAGGAAATGATTCCCATGGACTTTGATTCTCATGGTGGTATCAAAATGAAGGCTTTCTACGAACATCAGCGACTAGGGATCTGTACTGTTGTTATGTGGTCCATTTCCTGTCCACTGAGTCAAGGTGATGAGATCCGAGTGAAAACCTCCATCTGATATTGGTGCAGACAGATTCCTTCACAACCACAGGGAGTAGATCAGTGATCCATACGGAGTGGCTGTGCTTTTGAAAACCCCAAATGCTTCCCACATGAAAGTCTGGCCCAGGAAACACAAAACGACAATTTGCTAAGAAGGCGTGCACAATTTTCTTAAATAACAGTAAGGATATTCCATATTATTAAATGCTGCAAAAAAAAAAAAAGTTCAGTCAGATGAAAGCTGAAAAGAACCTATAGGGTCTCCCTTCAATTAGGGGAGATAATCTGAGCCCTGGACACTCAGATGGGAGTGACACCTTGAACTGCCATCCATGTCCTCTCCAAAGCCTGCCTGAGACCATGGATGTTTGCAGAAGACAGGCTAAGGAACATGCTGGTCACGCATATTATAAACCTAATTGAGGTATCAAGATTAATGTGGCCTGATTTAATGGGAAGAGAATGATCCTTATGGCAATTCCATCACTTCCTGGCTGCATGGCCTTGGCAAAATCATTTACCCTTCCTGTTTCCTCATTTGTAAAAAGAGGATAACATCTACCTTGCAGGCAGTCATGAGGATTAGAGATAATGCATTAAAATGCTGGTCCTATTTTTGATAAGAGCATGGTAAATAAAAGCCATGATTTTCATCACCAGCAGATGACACTTCTAGATTCAGAAGTTTAGTTCCCAGAGAAATGCCTTAATTAGACAATGTTTTAAGGTTTTGATATCAGCTTTGTCAAGGATTATCAAAGGGAGTTATCATTATGAATTCTGTAGCTTTTGAAAAACTCTACTTGTCATTTTGTTATTCATTGAGTTTCCTTGTGGCACTTTGCTTAGGTGTGACAAATTGCTTTGAATTTAGCACCAGCAAAGGTTTTCTACTTTTGTTTGCTTTTTATCAATGAGAATCCTTCATTTTTAGTTGCCAGGAAGACTAGAACTAAACTAAATACAATATAAGCCTTTGTTTTCCTTTTCCTCCTTAAATGGCTTTGGTTTTTGTTTCTATTTTAAGGCTTGTGTTATGAGTGTACTACCACTGTTACTTTTACTACCACGCCTCCTCCTCCTCACCCCATTACTATTAGTACTGCTGCATAGCATTTGGACAGTGACAATGTCAAATTTTATCTGAGCCCTGTGATCCTGGAAAACACTGACAGTTAAGAAATCCTCCCACTTTCGTGTTCCAGAAAATGGTTTACTGCAAAGCATCGCCCTTCCCCTATATCCTAAGATATGACTCAATGATGCCCTGTGACAAGGCCAGACACAGACCCTTAAAATTCCCTTTCTTTGCCTCGTAAATAATGATCTGAACTGCTTATCCCCACTGGATCAGTCAGAACAAAATGCTTCTTAATCCAACTTTGGCTAAGCTTCTGTCCTTCCTCCAGGCCCTTGAACTTTGGCCCACCCTTAGCCAGCATACACGGTCCTGCGAATAGGCTGGCCTCAGGGTACAGTGTTCTCTGATCCACTGTCCCATTACACCACCCTTTCATCATCCCACATCCTCACACCTGGTTCCTTCCATAAAAGAAAATTCCTCTTTTCTTACAAAGCTCTTACAATCAATCGTGTTCTCCCTGGGATAGTCTCTTCCCCTCCCCCAACCTTGCAATAATCCTTTCTGAAAAAAAGTCCATCCTTACTAAGTCTAGATTTGTTTTTTATTGAAAACAATATTTTCCATGTAAAGACTATGTATGTGTGTGTATATATGTATTTATATTTATACATACATATCTATACACACACACATATACATATATAATCTCATTTCAGTTTCATGGTAACTGTATAATAAGGTCAATATTCTTAGTTATCACCTTAGTGAAGAAACAGAATCTTAAGAAGCAGGGATCTGAAGCCAGATTTTTCGCCTTCAGATTCTGGGTTTCTCTTGCTACAGCATCACTAATGTGTTTAGGAGGTAGACAAGGTAGAAATGCCTGCTGTGCCCAGAATAGGCGAGGATGGTCTCCTCTGGCCTTTGGGCCTTTGGTCTCTGACACTGCAATAAGATGACACAGCGTTAGGACGGTTACTGCTTGTTTCCCAGAAGCAGGCAGCTTCTCTGATGATTAAGTAAGACAGGGACGATCCCCTGGGAACTTTTAGCACAGAGACCTGTGTGGGGTAAACTCCCAATACACGTTGAGTGTCATCACTGGGCACTATGCTAGAGGTGTTTACAGAAGTCATATTTTGCCTAGTTCCCAATGAATTTGAGGTTTACCTTTGTTACTTTATTTCATCTCAACAATTTAATGAGGTAGGTGATTATCTCCATGATCCGGATGAGAAAACCAGGGTTAATCCTTCCATGGCTCTGTCTGTGATTCCAGTAATAATAGTTTCTACATGTCAGAGACAAAAAGAACACTGTGAGTTATGTGCTATTATCTGTATTTTGTGGGGAGGAAATCAGAGAAATTAAATGATTTAGATAATTTGCCTTCAGCTCGGCAGAGCTCAGTCTTGCTGGAATTTTGTCTTCTCTTTCCCTTCCTGCCCTTCCTTCTGTCCTTTACCACAGTTTTTTTTAAATCGGAATTTTTCTTGCGTACAATTTAAGATAGCAAAAATTTTGCGAAGTTTGATGAGAAATACAACAGGGGCCCCTGCCCCTGCCAAGTCCTGCTCAGAAATAACCTCTTCCTCTCTAATAAACTGATTCTTTACCTTCACAGTGATAAATAGCAAGTTTCTATTACTATTAAACTTTTCAATGTTAAGCATTTCTTTCAAGATTCTTTCAGGGTGTGTCTTTCCTTAATTTAGGCATTGTTTTATTCCTCATCAAGGAAGAGAAGGATTTCTCTCTCTTTTGCCAAAACTCCCTGCCCTGGCCATACACCCACACAATTTCCTGCCCCACTCAACCTGCCATTTCCCAGTGCAATCCGATCATTACTTTAGTTAGATCAACATGCAATATTTACCTTATCAGGAGTGTGTTAGCATTATTCGCAGCCAAATCATAAGTATATAATGATGATTTTCCTTTTTCTGTTAAATTTTCCTCCTGGAGTTAAAAATCATTTTCATTTGATATGTTTAGTTTTCTACCTATTGGTCACATATTTGTTCTCAACTGTCCCCACATTGAGTGATTACCTCTCAATCACCTCAAATGCTAAAATCCCTCAGGGAGTTTATCCATCCCATTTTTTTGAAAAGCTTTCTGGAGCTTCTGGCTGGGCCAGTCTGGACTGGGTGCCCCTATATCTGCAGCAGAGCTGTTGACTTGGGGCCGCCTTTCACTATTGAACCGGGCTTCCTTCTCTCCTGTACAGGGTCCTCTTTTTCTTGGGTGTCATGTTTCTTTCTTGGTTCACGCCTCTATTTCTGGTGGAGCATATTCTTCATGGTGGCATCCTGAGACAGAGTGTCTCGGGGCCAAAATTTAGAGACATATCTAAAAATGTCTTCACTATCCTCACACTTGATTGAGAGCTTTGTTGAGAGTGGAAAATTCCAAGTTGGAAGTAGTTGCCTTTCTTCATTGTTTCCTAGCTCCCAATGTTTTGGGGAGATCTGTTGCTATTCGGATTCCTTTCTGTGAAACCTAGTTAGTCTCTTTGTAACCATGTAAGATTCTCTCTTTGCCCCTAAGATGCTGAAATGTCATGATGATGTACCTTTTCTGTAGGTTTTTTTTTTCCCTTCATTCCTTGTTCTGAGCATTCAGCGCACTCTTTCAATCTGGAAATTCATATCCTGTGGACTCGGGACATCTTTGTGAATGATTATTTTTAACCCCCATTTTCTCTCTTCTCTGTTTTTGAAATTCCTGTAATTTGGATATTAGCTACCTCAAATGCACCTTCTAATTTTCTTTTTTTCTTCTCTCCTAACTTTTCCCTGTACTTTCTGAGTAATTTCCTCAATGTATTTTTCTATCATCTATTGACTTTTTAAAAAGTTTCCTCTATTGTGTTTAATTTTCAAGAGCTACTTTGTCCTCTGAGAATTCCTTTTTTAGAGCATCCCATTCTTGTCTTTTAGGTGCAGTATCACACCTTTCTAAGTACTCGAGTTTTCTTCTCCTTGCGTAGTTTCTGGTTTCTCCACGATTTTTGTCCTTTGTTTGTTTGGGCCTTTGCTTTTTGTGTTAGTGAAATGTCTAGTGTTTCTTGGCTAGTGAGTCAGATGTCCAGTGCTTCTTGGCTGACTGCTTATGACAGAAAACTAAAACAGCTGTATAGAGGTGCTTCTCGGTGTATGGGTAGGGCTTGTCAACTGCAGATCGCACTGTAGGGTGATCTGGATGGGCTGTTCCCTTGGGAAACTCGATGCATTTGATAAGGTTTCTCAGAGAAACTCTACTTGGTCTCCCACTTAGAGAGTATAAGCCTGGCTTTCAGCATTCCGGGGAAGAAGGCTGGCGGGGGCTGGGGGTGGGGTCAGTGGGTGTCAACATTCAGAGTGTAAACTTGCACTTAACTCCCATATTTGCGTGTACCTCTGCATGAGATCCCTTGTCTAGAAACCATCTGTTTTATCTGCCCCAGAAAGGTCTAGTCTTTGCTAGGGCTGGGACCATGGAACAGAGGAAAGGATCCAGGGCTTACTCGCTTTCTGATCAAACTTTGAACCAATCTTCTTCTTGTCAGGGTTGACTTTGTTCCTCCTAGAAGTATCTTGTACCACTGATTCCTGAGACTTTCGGGGTTCTGAGATATAACTTGGGGTGTTCATGTCTGAGTTAGGATTTAACCTTCTCTGCTTAGACACTAGCTTCCACTTACTAATATGGTATTTATTAAATGTGCTTTCTAGACTCCAGAATTTTGTTGCCGTTGTCTCATTTCCCCTGTGTTTGTGGGTTTCTACTTCTTTTTAAAGTTTCCCTTTATTTTTGGTTTAATGGGGTTTCAGGAGGAATGCCGTTACCGAGTATGTGTAATCCATTATCTTTAACAGGAAGTTCAAGCCAGAGCTTGAACATGAACTCCACTATTCTATACTGCCTGCCAATAAGCAGCCTCCCCCTGCAAATAATAATGATAGTAAAACAGCAATTGTTAAACTTTTATGATCTGTCAGATACTATTTTAAGCATATAGACACTAATCATACACTAGCTGGGGTCACTGAAAACTTAATGGTCCCCTAATTTTGGCTTTACCTCTATGAGCTATGTAATAAACTCCTCTCTGCCTCAGTGTCCACATCTGTAAAATGTAGCTACCAAATAGTACATATCTGCCTTTCAAGGTTATTGTGCAGATTATATAATATAATACACGTAAAGCTCTCAACACGATGTCTAGCAAACAGTAAGCATTCAGAAAAACAATAAAAAGTACTAGGATAGAGAGAACAAGAAGTCACGTGTGTGTACATGTGTGTGTGTCTAGGGTTGAATATGACTGTGTCAACCCCATCTTGGAGACAGACGTGGGGTGGGGGAGGAGCTGATGTTCTGAGGCCCTAGGAACTACCCTGTGATGCCCAAGTCTGCCCTGTACTTCTCTCTGTGTCCATCCGCTCTGTTAACATGTTACTGTCTCTATGTGCATTTGCTAAGTGAATCCAAATAGAAGCCCTGTAAGGAAAGGATTTTTATTTCCTTTTGCAAATAAGGAAACTGAGGCACAGAGAGGAGCCATGTCCAAAGACACACACGGTTGCAACCAGGACTCCTGTGGGAGATGTGACCTGGGCCTGCGCTCATGGACTGAGCCTTACACCCATTACTTCGTTTGTTCCTTACCCTAATCTGCATTTTATATTATGAGAAACCAAACTCCAGAAAGGTTTATTTAAAAATCTGTCATAAGTGCAGTAAGGTCATCCAGCCAGAAAATGCTGGAACTGAAATTACCTTTACATCTGATTTCAGAGCTGTGAGACTGATAAGGAAGTAAGACCCCAGGAGTGATCAGGAGGGAAGCTGATGATGAGGAGACTCAGAGGGTGGCCAGAGAAAGTGGGATGGTGTAGACGTAACAGAATCAAGACCGTATCAGGCTGGGTGGACATTGTAAATCTGAGTACTAGGAATTGTGCAAACGTGGCAGAGGAAAGGGGAGGATCTAAGGCATTTGAGATTAGTGCTGGGGGCTCTACTACCATGATTACCCAAGTATGTGATGCCCGTCAGAGCCCCCAGATCTCATTGCCCATCCCTAAGGTGCAGGCAGAGGCTCTGGAGCCAGGAAGAGCTGGCACGGGGTGCTGGGCAGAGGCTCTGGAGCCAGAAGGAGCTGGCACTGGATGCTGGGGGGAGGCTCTGGAGCCAGGAGGAGCTGGCACGGGGTGCTGGGCAGAGGCTCTGGAGCCAGAAGGAGCTGGCACTGGATGCTGGGCAGAGGCTCTGGAGCCAGGAGGAGCTGGCACTGGATGCTGGGCAGAGGCTCTGGAGCCAGGAGGAGCTGGCACGGGGTGCTGGGCAGAGACTCTGGAGCCAGGAGGAGCTGGCACGGGGTGCTGGGGGGAGGCTCTGGAGCCAGGAGGAGCTGGCACGGGGTGCTGGGCAGAGGCTCTGGAGCCAGGAGGAGCTGGCACGGGGTGCTGGGCGGAGACTCTGGAGCCAGGAGGAGCTGGCACGGGGTGCTGGGCAGAGGCTCTGGAGCCAGGAGGAGCTCGCACGGGGTGCTGGGCAGAGGCTCTGGAGCCAGGAGGAGCTGGCACGGGGTGCTGGGCAGAGGCTCTGGAGCCAGGAGGAGCTGGCACGGGGTGCTGGGCAGAGGCTCTGGAGCCAGGAGGAGCTGGCACGGGGTGCTGGGCAGAGGCTCTGGAGCCAGGAGGAGCTGGCACGGGGTGCTGGGCAGAGGCTCTGGAGCCAGGAGGAGCTGGCACGGGGTGCTGGGCAGAGGCTCTGGAGCCAGGAGGAGCTGGCACGGGGTGCTGGGCAGAGGCTCTGGAGCCAGGAGGAGCTGGCACGGGGTGCTGGGCAGAGGCTCTGGAGCCAGGAGGAGCTGGCACGGGGTGCTGGGCAGAGGCTCTGGAGCCAGGAGGAGCTGGCACTGGATGCTGGGCAGAGGCTCTGGAGCCAGGAGGAGCTGGCACGGGGTGCTGGGCAGAGGCTCTGGAGCCAGGAGGAGCTGGCACGGGGTGCTGGGCGGAGGCTCTGGAGCCAGGAGGAGCTGGCACGGGGTGCTGGGCGGAGGCTCTGGAGCCAGGAGGAGCTGGCACGGGGTGCTGGGCGGAGACTCTGGAGCCAGGAGGAGCTGGCACGGGGTGCTGGGCAGAGGCTCTGGAGCCAGGAGGAGCTCGCACGGGGTGCTGGGCAGAGGCTCTGGAGCCAGGAGGAGCTGGCACGGGGTGCTGGGCAGAGGCTCTGGAGTCAGGAGGAGCTCACACGGGGTGCTGGGGGGAGGCTCTGGAGCCAGGAGGAGCTGGCATGGGCAACCCTGGCTGCTGGGAGCTCCATTTCTGAGCTTCAGGCTTTTGCTTTTCCCTGGACACCATCTGGCCTGGATTCTCCTGTAGCCCCACCACCCTCTGTCTCTGCAGCTAGATTGACAGCTACTCAAAGAAAGTCCATCTTCTGGGCAATTCAAAGATAGATAAGGGTTCTAAATATCATGTATTTGCCTGTGTGTGATCTGGTGCAGGTAATTTAATTTCTTTGTGCTCCATGTTCCTTACAGAATATGAGCATTGAAACATTTCCTTTCCAATTATATTGGTTTTTCAATGCAAGAGCAATATATGCCTTTGTTAAATTTTAAAAAATATATGTCAGTATAGACAGGCCATTCTATTAACAGCTAATAGCATCTAAAATTTTTAAAGTGAATTTTAAATACATGGATGTATACATAGGGTTTTGGTTTGCTTTGTTTTATACAAATGAGATAATACTATGTAGACTGTTCTGAAACATGCTGTTTTCCTTTTACTGAATATATTATGGATCGTTGCCATTTAGAGGTGTATAGTTCTACCTCAGTCTTTTTCACAGCTGCATAGGATTCCATAAGAGGTCCCATAATCTATTTACCTATGTCCATTTTGATAAACACGTAGATTGTTTCTAAAATGTGGTTATTATAAACAATGCTGTAATGAACTTGCTTTGTGGTTGACTCAGCTTTGGGTGATTGCTGAGCTCGGGAGTCACACAGCAGCGGTGTCTGTGATATTCCCCTGCCTTGGGGAACACTCATTTTCCTCCTCTAACCCATAGTCCAATCCTGTGCTGGGTCCTCCTGTCTCCAGAGCTACTGCAATCAGTTCTGTGACCCATCACGATGAGCAGGCCTCAGGCCGAACCAACCCGGAATCCCTTCCCAGGCTCTCTCAGACTGGACCCAGGAGAGAGGAGCCCTTTTTTCTTTCTGGTTAAGAAGCTGGAATGACAAAAATCCAGGAGCTGTTGCAAGGCCTAAGGGAATGAAGCCAGCCCATAGAGAAGCAGAGATAAAGTGGACTTCCTTTTTTTTAAAACCAAAGTTCCAGATCATTTCTAAGGTCCCACTGCTTCTCATAGTCCGACTCTAGGAGGAGAGTGATTGTGCGGGGCACACCAGGGCTCCTCCCGTATTTGCTTTCAGCTCCATCAAGATTGCCTTCCTAGGACTCCCAACCGGGAGCTTCGGAGCCCTTGGGAGACGACGCATGGCCCTGGGAAAGTCCTTTCTTCTGATCATTGTACGCGGCTCTTCTCATTGTAGAGATTCTCCAACAGCTCTTCAGTGAAACTGTATCTATAACCAAGAACTAACTCATCTGAAAGCTATCATCAATCATTTGTATCTTGTGTGGCTTTCAGGTCTTTTCATGAGAGCAAATTTAAGGTGGGGGTGAGCCCTGGATACAGGCAATCAACACGCACTGAATACTTCCAATGCTGCAGGCACGGGGATGGAATATTTCCAAGCTCCCGGTCCCCACATCATGGACTACTTTAGCTCCTGGCCCCCTGACAGCCTCTCCATTCCACACCCGCCATCATTGGAGGCAACGCAACATACATGCGAGCAGGCCTTCTACTTCCTTAAGAGTCCTTCCTCCAAAAGCCTGCGCCTCCTCCCTGCTTTCTTCCCTCCTGCAGGAAATGAGCATGAGAGTGCCTAGGTCACAGGGTCTTCCAAGGACCAAGCGATTCCATGTATGTAAATGTGCTTTGTAAACTGTAAAGCCCTGCTACTCTTAACACCCAGGAAGAGCGGAAGAGCCGGGAGCACCAGGGGAAGGAGGTAGTAGGCTTTGGACTCTCTGCTGCCTGCCCACCACCACCTCAAGGGCCACAGCAGGGCCCTCGGGGCCAGACAGCCTGGGGCTGCACGGCTCCTGCAAGGCGGGGCTGGGATATCAAAGCTGGAAGCGAGGGGCATGTCAGCCTGGCTTTGTGAGCCCGGCTCCCATCAATGCATGAAAGCCTCACTGTACAAACTGCATTCGCCGCGCTCCCGACCTGCATTCCCGATTGGTCACGGCCTGGCCCCAGCTGCATTCCTGGGCTAGAGGAGGCAGAGGGGCCTGGCCTCTTTGTTCTTCCCAAATCGGGGCTCACAACCATGACAGGCTGATCATATTACCCCCCTGAGGTCAGCCTGGCAGGAGTGACCCCCTCGTGTTCCTCCCACCTCATCATACACACCCTAGTTCCTAACCTGTACTCCTTTACCAGGCTGCCATGGCTCTTAGTTACAGAAGGAAAAATCTAACCACAGCTCTGTAGCCTCCTGCCAAAGTCAGATGCTGGGAGTAGGGCCCAGACCCTCAGGCCAGACCTTGTCCAATTTCAGGTAATCTCCAAGGACTCACAGCTGCTCACCCCAGAGCCCTGCTGCCTTGTTTGCTGCTGGAATGCCCGGAACCCATACTACATGCACCTAGATGGCATTTAAGTCCTGGGCTCAGTATCAAAACAAGCCCAACTTTCAGAGTTACCATAGATAAGGTGCTTTTCTGTCAGGTGTCCCCATATAACTGCTGCCCACTTTTCCTGGGAGTGACATCTGACCACCCTTTCTCTTTCCTCTGCTTGGTTATAAGAACGCAAGCTTGGACATCTGCCCTGCTTGGTTTGCATCCTGGCTCTCCCACTTACCTGCTGTGTGACTTTGAATGACTGACCCAACTTCTCTGGCCTCATCTTCCTCCTATTTAAGATGAGGATGAATGTAAAGATTAGAAAGATATTGTACCTCCAGCCTGGCCTGCTGCTCTGGCAGCCTAACAAATCCCACCATTCCATTCCTGGCCACCCCCACCTCCTTTATTTTCTCTACCCAGTAGCGCTGGTGTATATCCTCCCTCTGCTCAAAACCTTTTTATTTCACTTTAAATACACTCTAGTTCCTGGTGGGGTTGTGAGTCCCCCATCCTTCTCACGGCTGTGCTAGTACTCTCAGCCGGGACTTTCCCTCCCATTTGTCCCCTGTCGTGTTTCAGATCTCACATAAATGCCATTTACCATTTACCGAGAGGAGGCTTCCCAGAGTCCCAGAGTCCCCTGTTATGTTCTCACGATGGCCTACACTTTTCCGTCATAGCCCTCGTCGCAACTGGGGGAACTCGCTGCTGCTCCCTGCGCAGTGGACGAGGGCCCATCTGTCCACTCTGCTGGTGAGCTTCGTGAGAACAGGAACCTTGGCTGCTTCCTCCCCAGCTGACTCCCCGGTGGCCTAGAGTTCTCTTCCAACACATATTCGTTGAATGAATAACAAAGTAAAGGGCTTTCCTGGAATGCCAACAAGCCTGTTGGGAAGACAAAGACCGACATATAAAACTATTCAGAGCAACACAGGATACTCGTGTATAGCTGTCTCCAGATAGCTTGGCTTTCACTCTCGGGACTTCAGGAATTCAGAGAAAGGAAGAAAGGGTATTAACTATCTCATGAAGACTCTGCTTGAGGCCCCTCATTCCAGGGGGAAGGGCAGAGAGCAGGAAAAGTAACATCCGTCATGTATCTACCACATGCTGGAAATCTATCGTAAACATCTTTTTAATTTTCCTGGTTATCCTAGCTTTACAAATGAGGAAACTGAGGCCCGGAGAAGTTGAGTCAGTCATCCAAAGTCACACAGCAGGTAAGTGGGAGAGCCAGGATGCAAACCAGGCAGGGCAGATGTCCAAGCTTGCATTCTTGTAACCGGGCACAGGAAGGGGAGGGGGTGGCAAGATGTCACTCCCAGGTGAAGTGGGCAATGGTTTAAGAAGCATAGATTGGTAGGCTGGGCTTCACAGGGCAGTGGAGGCAGATGGAGGTAAACAGACCCATAGGAGCTACTCCACAAAGGCCATCGGTAACTGGGAGCCTGGTTGTCCTGGGAAGACCATGCCTTGCCTTGAGTTACGCAAGAAATGTGCACACCCTTAGAAAGGCCCACCTGTGGTAACTAGTGGGGTATGTTGGAGAGTTTCAACATCAAAGGCCTCCTTTTGTTGTTTTCAGCCCCACTCCATAGGTTGTTTTGAAGGATTTCTGTTTACTAAACAAACTGAATTCATGAAATTACTCATTCACTTGGTTGCCTGGTGTTTTACTACTCAAGCCTACATAACTGGTAAACTTCTGGCTGCAGGAGGTAACTGCTGTTGCCAAATTGAGATGATTTAATTCCAACCAAAGTGAGGAAATGTGATGTTTTAGTCAGTCTGAGCTACCTTCTTATTCGTTTTTCCCAATGAACTTCATTGAGCACATATGAATAAATCACAGTCCCTGCCCTTGAGAAGAGTTAAGTCTCCTAAGGAGACATAGACAAGGAAACAGCCAATTGCAATAGAGAATGATAACATTGTGTTCTAGGTAAGCACAGGGCTGGGTGGAAGATTCAGGAGACACTGAACACAGCCTTGGGGGGTAGTGAATATTTGTGTTCCCCAGTGCATATGTCCAAGTCCTACAATCCAGTGTGAGTGTGTTTGGAGGTGGGGCTTTGGGAGGTAGTTAGGGTTTGATGATGCCCTGAGGATGGAGTCCTCTTGGTGGGATTAGTACCCTCGTGAGAAGAGACACGACAGAGTCAACCCTCCCTGTGCATTCACTGAGGAAAGGCCATGTCTACAAGCCAGGAAGGAAGTCCTTGCCAGGAATCAAATTGGCCAGCACCTTGACCTTGGACTTCCAGCCACCAGAGCTGTGAGAAACAAATTTCTTTGATTAAGCCACCCAGGCTATGGCAGCTGGAGCCAACTAATACAAGGGTGTCCTAGAGAATCTCCTTCTGTCCCCCGGGCTACTCTGCATCACCTGCTCAGCATCCCAAAGCCTGACTTGTAGGATTGTATCCGTGGGGCTCCTCTGCCCTCTAGTTTCCAGTTGGGTTTTGCCAATGGGAGACCCTGGCCCAGGGAGGGTGAGATCAGCACCCCCACCCCACCCCACCCCGATCAGCCACCGTAGATGGGCTGAGGCTGTGAACCTGTACTGAAGGTCACGGCTCCTGTCGCAGCCCCTCCTTAATGCTACAGGTCTTGCAGGCCTCTATTAACTGTCCCCTTCCCTTGTCCCTTCAGGCCTACAGTAAATGGAGGCTTGAGAGGCTATTGACGACTATTGCACTCTACTTACTGCCCTTGACCCTGCCAAGGCTCTGTCACTGGTCCCTTCTTGAACTGTCCTGGATCACCCAGTTTGAGTGAGCCATTTGTTCCTGCTGGAAACCTAGACTTACATACAAGTCCAGGAAGCTTCCCAGAGGGGCGATGTTTAAGTTGATATCTGAAAGATGGGTAGTCTTTCTTTCAAGGAGTTAGCCTTCTTGCAAAAAATATGTGATTTCTAGGAGACTTTTTACAAACATTAAAACAGCCCCCCACCTCTGTCATATCTCCTGGAACCCTTGGGAACTTGGGGTGTGCCCAGGTTGGAAATGACTAGCCCAAAGCCTAACAAGGCTGCATAGACCCAAATGCAGGGTCTAGATTTTTTCCTCTCAGCCAGATCCTCGAGACGGAAGAGAGGAAGTTGGGGGCTGCACCTACCGGAGGCAGCACCCTGTCACCTACCCTCAGGAACTCTCAGGAGACACCAGCAGAGCCTCTGTTATTTCCATCCTCCTCCCCAAACCAGCTCCTGTCCTTTCAGAGAGGCAGCCCTGGGGGGAGGCTGGGGGAAGCCATGCCTTGGAAGGCACAGTCATTCATCTCTTGTCCCCTCCTGTGTCCCATCAGGCTGAGGGGGACAGCTGCCTCAAAGATCAAGTGTCAGGGAAGCAGGCCTACCTCCCCCGGCATAGCAATGCTGGGCATCGGGCCAACTGCTGAGGGCCCAGCCCAGCCCGACCCCCATGGCCCCGACCGACCCGGGAGAGGGCTGAGCCTGCTCACAGGTCTGTCATTCACCTCCCTCCCCCCACCCTGACTTGCCCCTCTCCCACTCCCTGTCACCTCCAATTAGACAATTCACGTTCATGCTTTTCAGAATCTGGCCTTCCTACCAGCTTAATTCAGCACCCACCCATCCCCGCCCCCAACCCCACGCCCCCAGCCTCTTAGGGCTTCCGTTTGACATGTCACACCAACCTGCACCCCCCTCCCACCCCCGGGGGACTTTGTGGAGAAGGCACAGAGTGTATTCCTGTCTCTGGACCCCAGCAACCTTCCCTCCTGATTTCTGCTGCCTTTGGAGGCCAGCCTGTCTCCCCGGCCTTGATGAGGTTCATGGCCTCCGAAGTCAGCAGCTGTCATCATCTGCACCCCTGGATGACAAGTTTAATGCTACTCGTACCATTATTTAAATCAGAACACCAGCTACTATTTTTCTCCTGTGCCAGTCACTTTGTGGTGAGCCAGTCTTCTCAATGACACCACTAGGCAGGCAACACCATTACCATGTTACTGGTGAGGTAACTGAGTCCTTAGGGAACTTTCTAGGCTGGGAAGCAGCAGCGGGCGCTCAGGCCCAGATTCCTCTGTCTTTAAGCCCTGGCTCCTATACCACAACTTGTCCTGTTTCCCTATGAGAGTGTAAGCTCTCTGTGGGTAGAGACCTCATAAGGCAGTGCCCCTGCCAGCCCTGGGACAGACAGTGCCCCCTGCAGAGCGCACAGTTAGGGCTTAGTACTGCAGTCACATCAGGGCAGCACTGCTTGGAACCCTCTACTGATTTCCCATCTCACTCAGGATACAAGCCAAAGTCTTTTAGAGTGCATACAAGGCCCTGTGTGATCAGCTGCATGCACACACACACACACACTCCACCCCTATCTACTCTGCTCAGATCATGCTGGCTCCTTGCTGCTTCTCAACATTCCAAGCCTGGCCCACAGTGGCTCCAGGAGTAACTGGCAAGACCAGCCCCCAGGACTCCTTGCTCTGAGGCCCAGGCTCTGTGCACCAGCAGAGGCTGCCTTACCTGCTCCCAGAGCCAAGGGACTGCCTCATTTCCAGAGAGGCTCAGGTCCCAGCTGAGCACTCGGGGCCGCAGGTCCTCTCCCCGCCAGGGCAGGAGCTTTCCAGGCCTCAGGTTGGAGCCTGCCTCTCTCTTGTACTGTTTCCCTCCCCTTTCCTCCCCAAACACCAGGTGTCCTGTTCTCCAGCCGCATGTGCCAGTCCGCCAAGCACCAAGGCCGCTCCCCACTAGGCTTGGCTTGTGTTGTCCCCTCTGCCCAAAAGTGTCCTCCTGCGTTTTGCCTCTCCAAGCCCTCCAAATCCTGTTCAGATTACAGCTGACCGGAGCTTTTCCCTCCCTGTTGCCCCTTTCCACCCTGAGAGCAAGTCGCTCCCCTGCGCTGTTCTCGATGGCGTGATGGCCCTCTCTCCCCTGACCAGTGCCACTGTGGCCCTTACCTCAGCCCACCTTCCGCATTCATGTAGATAAGCCTCCACCTTTACACTTGAGACCCACAGGCAGAGAAAGGCTCTCGGACATGTTGTGCCCCATGGTGGCTGGTGCCCAGTTTATACATGTGGCTTTTAGAGAATTACACTGAATTCTCTGAGGAGAAACTAAGGCCTAGAAACAAAGAGCGGACCCCAGCCATGGCGTCTAACCCGGCTAGGGCTGCCAGGGACACGCGGCACTCTCAGGTGGCTGCAGTTTCAGAGAAACAACAAATGAGGTGTTCCTTTTAAGTGCGGGGAGCATAATTTTTAGATGCCCTCATGACTTCCATCTTTTGGGGTCCCTCCCTCCGGCATTATGTTACGCTGTGTGGCAAAAGAGAGATTATGTAGATGAGCCTCACATAATCCCAACAAGCCCTTTCAAAACAAAATTTCCTCCAGCTTGTGGCCGAAGGGAAGTCAGAGACTCAAAGAATGAGAAGGATTCTATAGTCATTTGCTGGCTTGAGGATGGCGGGGGACACACGACAAGGAAAGTGAACAGCCTCTAGGAGCTGAGAGCAGTGGCTGATAGCCAGCAAGGAAACAGGGACTTAGTCCTATAACCACAAGGAACTGAATTTGGGCAACAACCCAACTGAGCCGGGAGGCAGGTTCATCCCAGAGCCTCCAAAAAGGAACACAGTCCAGCCAACAATTTGATTTTAGCCTGCAAGATCCTGGGCAAGAGGACCAGGCGGAGCCGCTCTGTAACTTCTGACCCTCCCAACAGTGAACTGCACAGCACTTAGGTTCTTTGAGTTGCTACCTTTGTGGTACTTTGTTACATAATAATGGAAAAAGAATGCCATAAGTATGTCTCAAATATTTCATGGGACATACTTATACTAAAAAATTATTCATTGTTTATCTGTGAGTCATTTATAAGTGGGCCTGATGTATTTTTATTTGCTAAATCCCACAACCCTCAACGGCAGGGAGGTCAGGTCACAAGGACAGACCAGTCTGGAGCTGGGCCGCAGCGCCACTTGAGATTTCCCTAGCTGGCACAGGGTTCCAGGGCCTGGAGGTGGTCTGCACACCGCCACTACCTGAGCAAAAGCAAAAGAGGTTCCTAGGGGGCCTACTCCACACCCTGCACACAGGTTGTAACAACTTCCCTCTAAAGCAGGGGGTTAACCTGGGGTCTAGACCCCTGATCTAGATCCGTACATGG